TAAATGAGACGATAAATGAGGTCGAACGTGTTGTGCGCCAGAATATAAATACAAGCATGGATAAGTTACACGGCCGCATTTCTGCGTAACGCTCACCCGAACATAAAGCAGATTTTCATCCAGATGTCCAGAAATCCATGGTTTAAATGCATACATTCTTTCGTTCATCCATCCACCCATTATTCATCCATCCATTCACATATCTATCTTTATGTATCTATCCATTCACTCATGTATCCATCCGTTCATTTATATATCTATCAATTGATTCATTTATCCGTTCATTAATTCATATATCCATCAATTGATTCATGTATCCATCAATTCATATACTTATCCAGCCATTTATGTATCCATACATTCATCTATCCGTTCATTCTTTCATGCATCCGTCCATTCATCATCCATGTTCAAATCAATAAAATAATATCAATATTGAATAAACTTTGATTGGTTGAGATAATGCTGCTCGTTAAGTAAAGCAATAACAGAACAAACATACAGAAGCGAGAAGATGAAATCGAAGAAAAATTTACAAATAAGTAAGTGTAAGATGATATGGCGATTGAATTATAATGTAATACGAAAATTAAATTTGATTAATATAATAAGTAATCTCGGATGATTTGATTTTATATTTTTGTTAAGTGTTCATTTAGTTGGTGTAGCTCAGATAGTAGCGTGGCTTTCTCCGCTTCCATTGTCGTCAGTTCATCCTGCGCTGTCTGGTATGATTGTGAATGATAATTTTTTTCGATTTTCAATGTAAAAATGTTTAGAAATTTTTAATACATAACTAAAAATGAAATGAATTTTTTTTATGTTATTTCAGATGAAGTGATGCTTAGTCATTTCGACCAAATTTCATCTACGGCCGTTATTTTTGAATATTTAGCGCCATAGCTTGATTATGTTAGTCAGTAGTAAATAATAAATGTTACTAAATTAATTATTATAATTAGTAGTAATAGTTGTGGTAGTATTATTACTATGACTTATTAATTTCTAATGCATCCATTTGAAAATTAATTTTATAATTTCGCATGTGTTTTATTCAATGTTATGATAAGCCCACATGTATTTTATTCGTATGTCCAGCTGGAAAATGGTGTGCAGCTGTTGGAAATATGATATGCCGATTCGTAACAAAATTTCAGGTTACTAAATCATCTTTATACATAAAATCACTTCAATTGTTAAGTACGGCAGTTTATTTTATTGCATGTTACATAGGTATAATAATGTTATGGTGATAATAAGGATGACGATAGGTAATAACTGAAATGATGAAATTAATAATGATGATGATAATTAATAATGATGATATGATTATTTCATACCTGTTTGAGGGCTGATAGTGTTAGATGTCTCTGAAGTAATTTTTGATGCTCTTGCATTACGTCTGCCAGTTTGGCTTTCAATAGTTTCTCTTCTTTCATCTGGACTAATTATTTTTTTATTATTATCTTTTTATTTCTATGTTTACAGCTTTGATATACCTTTTTAATATAAATCAACAATGATTATTAATTAACTTTTACGTTGTTCACCGGTTTTATGAATTTCTGATGCATAAATCCGCCAAAGTGTTTGTATAAATGATGTGCCAGTAGCTCTACACTGTATCAATATGATAGCATACATAAAACATCGATGCATCACACAGCATAGATACAACAGACAACATTGATACCATATACAACATAGATACAATACACAGCATAGACACAATATCCAACATAGATATAAACAGCATAGACAACATACCAACCATATTTTTATGGCCTATAATTATTATAACTATTTGTTATTATAACTATCATTAGAATAAAGCAAAGAATAAAAATTTATTGATTTATACTATGGCACACCGACTTTTCAAGTGGTTGATGTAGGCTTGTCTAATCACATCAACACCAGGCCAAGCTGATCTATTTGGTATATTGTCTATGCTGTTTATGTCTATGTTGTTTATTATATCTATGCTGTTTGTTGTTTCTATGTTGTTTGTTGTCTCTATGTTGTTTGTTGTTTCTATGCTATTTGTTGTTTCCATGCTGTTTATTTTTATCGTATGAGGATTCATTTTGTTTAGTGATGATGATGATGAAAAAAATAAATGTGGTGATGATGATGACGACGATGATGGTATCATTAGCTGTGATGTTGATACTGAGGTAGATATCAATTGTGATGATAAGAACGATGATGACGATGATGATGATAATGACGATGGTGATGACGAGGAAGATGATGATGATGATGATGATGGCGGAGGGTGTTCTTTAGAATGATGTAATGAAATAAGGCCTAAGGCAGCGCAGTACATAGCATCTGTACAATGATCTATTGTTGTTGTTGTTGCATTATTATTTTCATTCTGGCTGATGTTGTTGTTGTTAATGTTGCATGTTGTTGTGTAAATGTTGTGGTTGGTTATGATGTTATTGTTGTTGATGTTTTTGTCGATAAAATTGTCGACGTTACCATTACCATGGCTGATATTTCTGCTGTTATTGTAGTTGTTATGACAACAATAATAATTAATATTATTATTGTTATTATTATTGTTGTTACTGTCGTGAATGTCGTTGTTTGATTGGATAGTTTCATTAGCAGCATATCCATTCATCATGTTGTTGTCTTTCTTAGAGAAGTTGTTGGTTGGGTAGTAGATGTAATTATTTCCATTTTCGTTGTTTAGGGTTATGACGTCATTGTTGTTATTATTATTGTTATTATTATTGTTGTTATTATTATTAGTGCACTCGTTGACGTTTGTGTTACATGTTTTTCTATCATTGTTGTTTTCATCTCTAAGAGTGTCATGGTGATGATGGTGCTGATGATGATGATGTGATGACCAAATTGCAGATGTGAGTGATAAAGGTGTGGATGATGATGACGTAGATGATGACGAACAGGATGTAGATGATGATGATGATGATGATGATGATGATGATGAAGTGTACGAATTATTTGTACCCCCGCCAGCTGTTCCAAGCGTTTTCCATATGCTGAACTCGTTTCTAAGGAGGCTGTTGTTGTTGTTTTGTCTGTTGTTGTTGATAATATTATTATTGTTATTGTTGTTGTTCGTGATGCCGTTATTGTTAGTAATATTGTTGTTGTTGATGACGATACTGTTGATGCTATTAATTTTGTTGTTGTTTACGTCTTTAATGCAATTAATGCTGACGTTGTTGTTATTATTACTCTCGTTATTGCAGATGCTGTGGTCAGTGTCGGCATCACGTGAAGATGTTTTCAAGCATGGCGAGGAGGCTAATGATGGTGACATTGATGGTGGGACAGGCAAGTAGGGGACATTTTCGGATGCATTGCAGATGGTGGATTGGTATTTGGATGAGGATGACGACGACGATGATGACGAAATGGATGTCATTAAATCAGCTTTTCCCACGTTTTTGAATTCAGATGCATGTGCATCTAGGACATGAACATTATCATCGGTTTCATATGATGCAGGTTTTACATCATCACCATCATCATCTTTCTTCGCATTATTCTCTTTAAACTACGAAAATTTGTAGTTAAATGCGTACTTAATCGTTTATTTCAGTAATAAATTTATAAACGAACATTGTATAATTCAATAAAAATACCTATGCGTATTTTAATCGTATATACATAGGTAGATTTAGGTATTTTCACTAATAATACGGTTAACTTAATACGCTTGGTATTTTTTGTAACAACGGACGTATCAGTTTGCGAGTATGACTAATTAATTTCTGTAATATAGGGAGAATGCCAGATGATTCTATCCGATCCATGCATATCATCATCTCGTAATTTTTTTTATTGGCCAGGGTATTGTGTCATGCTAATTGTATGATATGGTATCATGTGTTTTCTTCATTTTTGTGTAGATATTGAAGTAGCAGATGTTGTCATAGTAGTAGTAGCAGTAGTAGTAGTAGTGGTAGTAGTATTAGTGGCGGTGGTAGTATTAGAAGTCCAAATATGTGTAGTATTGTTAATAATAATAATAATAATAAAGTAATTGTTATTGTAGTAGCGATAGTAATAATAGAATTGAATTGTAAAAAGTATTAATAAGGATAACAGTTGTAATGATAATATTAGCAGAAGGGATTGCATTAGTAAAAAAAGAAGTTTTAGAAGTAGTAGTAGTAGCAGCAGCAGTTGCAGCAGCAGTAATATCAGCACTTCATCGCAATCATTAGCAAACACTGTTACAGTAATTAAGATGTAATGGAGATTAAGTGGGTGTTGTTGGTCGTCGAAGCAAGTTCAATTTTAAAAGTAGTAGGTCATCTTGTAGTAGCGGTTGTAGCAATAGCAGCTGTAATAGTGGTGGTAGTAGTATCAATAATGGTAATAATAACAGTAATGATATTAAAAATAATAATTGTTGTTATTATTATTATTTTTATCACAAGAGAAATGCAATGGTTTCGTCTCATTCATTCATATCATATGTGTTGCACAACAGGTAGACAGGCTATTATTATGTACGAGCACACCTGTTCCCTTCAACAATACAGGTATTTTAGCAAACATTATACCACCTTTGTTATTATTATTCTTATTGTAGTTATTACTGTTATTAATGTTATTACTGTTATATTATTGCTATTTTTATTGCTATTCGTGGTGCTTGCAGCTTGATGTTATTATCACTGTTGTCACTCTTTTTGTTAGTACTATCAGAAACATATAATAATGATAATAATTATAATATTATTATCATTATTATTATATAATAATAATTTTTTTTTACTGTTATTATTATGGTTGAAATTGGTAAAAGTTAAGTTTGTGGTAGCGGTAGTTATTGCACTATTTATTAGTAGTAATAATAGTAGTAAGTATGATAATTAATTTATTACTTTAAATACATCAAAAGTTACTGTCACTTAGTCCAACAGCCCAATAGTAGTAAGTATGATAATTAATTTATTACTTTAAATACATCAAAAGTTACTGTCACTTAGTCCAACAGCCCTAGGATTTGTTTTGTGGAAACTTATATTTATATCTTATGCCATCTCTCTTTCCTTCTCTGTCTGCCTCTCCCTCACTCTCTTTTTCTTTCTCCCTCTCTCTCTCTTGCTATTTCTCTAAATTGGTTGGTTTTGCACCATCAACAATCACTTGATAAATTAATAAATTAAACTTCAAGTGTAGCAATGGGTGGTAACAGTGATGAAGATGATGACAACAATGATGATGAAGAAGATGATGACGATGATGATGAAGATGATGACAACGATGATGATGAGGATGATAAGAATGCTGACAGCAATGAGAATGATGATGCTGACGATGACGATGACTCGATGCCGGCTGTGATAACAAGTGAGGTGATGTGGTTGTGATTGAGATGATAATGATGATACAATTGTGTGGTTATTATCGAATTCATACGATCAAAAAATAAAGTGAAACATCTAAAATATGAGGCAAAAAAATTAATAATAATAATAACAATAGGGAAGATAATGATGACGACGACTATGATAACGATTGTGATGATGACGGGAATAGATAGGTGATAATAACGAGCATTAAGAAGAAGACGATGATAACGACTTAGAAAGATGGAAATGATATATATATAGAGAGCAAAAAGATTAGATTTTTAAAAGGAACATCTGTTGTGATGAAAGATAAGGAACACATGTTATTAGCATTACATTACACGCATTAACATTATACTCACGTACATACATGTACACAAATAATTCTCATTCTCTCTCTCTCTCTCTCCTCTCTCTTTCGTCTCTCTCTCTTTCGTCTCTCTCTCTCTCCCTCTCTCTCTCTCTCTCTCTCTCTCTCTCTCTCTCTCTCTCTCTCTCTCTCTCTGGCTGGCATTATTAACTGTGGAGGAGATCAGAATACTAATTGAAAAATTTAATATGTACTGCATAATTCTTTACAGAACTTATTATTATTATTATTATTATTATTATTATTATTATTATTATTATTATTATTATTACTCAAATTTCCTCCATCTATTTTTGTTATTATTTTCTATTTTCAAATTTTTATGCGTCATTTTTTAAATATAAAAATAATCAGTTCAATTTGAAAGTTTTTTTCTGTAATAAATTTTGAAAGAAAATTATTTTCTAACCTTTTTCACATTGCCTGCTTCATTATTATGGTAATAATTGATTTCATTAACATCTGTCAAATTTGTTGTTGATTGGAGTTGGTTGTTGTCCATGTTTGATTGGTTGTTGTTGTTGCTAATACATTCCACCAGATGGTATGTGTTTGGTTCTAATTTTGGCTCAACTAGATTTTCACAATACAGATCTCTCAGATTTGAACCATTGTTAATCTTTAATTTGTTGCACTTGTTAGGACCGTCAATTGCATTATTATAAACATCAGTTATCGTTTTCTCAGTTGGTTTTGATTGTTTTTTAGATTGAACAAAGATCATTATCTCCCTAGCCAGTAAGTCATTACAAGCCCTGCAGCTTTTAATTGAAGGACTACTGACCGTTGTTATTAATTTGTACAATTTTTCAAGGTGCGCCAGTCCACTGAGGTACAAATGTGACTCAGGTAGGAGGGACTTGATGAATGGAAGACACAAGGGATGAATGTTATCGACACTAAATTGCCTGTGTGTACAGAAGAAGCATTCTTCAAGAGATTCACTTGAATTTTCATTCTTCCAAACATCAGGGATTACACAGCTGGGTTTGATATCAGAGTTACAAATGTTACTGTACAATCTCTGATTCATCGGTATCCTCCTTGCCTCGTATACTTTCCACTGTCTGGAGAGCTTCTTGCGACATTCACAACAGACTTCGACCAGACCCGATTTCGTCATGTCTTTGGCTTTTTCTGGCTTCTTGAGATGTTTGATGAATGGAAAATAAGGTTCATCAGAACGTTCAGCGCATGACACAAACCTGGAGTGATGGTCGGAGTATGCAAGGCGGCATATGTAGCAAACAAAATTATTACTTGTTTCACTGCTGGCTTTCAGCTTTTTAACTGAACTGTAGTTTGTTTCATGGCCATTGGATATATTGCATTCAGTCTTGTGCTGTTCATTCGATTTTCTTTTTGATATTTTTCTACAATTAGTAATTTGATTTTTGTTTGGAGAGGTAGATAGATCTAGTGCTTCCACGTTGTCATCGTAATCGTCAGTTGACTGATTTAATGAAACGTTGGCTCCTGGTATATCTGAAGCAGGGCTATTTCCGTTGTGTTCGACAGTGTTCCTTGATGAAATGCCATTTATATGAGAACTACCATAAAAAGAACTGTTGTTGGTGTTGTTGTTTAGGCCGATTACCTGTGAGATGTATTCTTTCTGTACGGACATTTCGGCACCCGTGAACATCTTATCATCGGTCCTCTTCATCCAGAACAATCGTTCGACCATCGGAGTTTTCCTCTTTTCATAGGACTTCCACTGTTCAGTGAGGAAAGCTTTGCATATAATGCAGCACGACACCCGGCCGTCGTCGGCAGGCAACTTGGCGTTGTTTGGAGGAATGTGATTTGCCAGAAAGGTAAAGTAAGCACCTGTCTTGCGAGGTTTTGTATGCAGGAAGTGTGGAGCTCCAGCCACTCCACATACGAAGCATGTTAAATCATTAGTCATAACAACCATTCAATCAAGTTTCACGGCATTTTTCATTCATTCTTTACTGGCACTGCTTGATGTCTATCCAAGTTTTGCTACTGATGATTGAATTAATAATTAACTGAATAGGCTACTTGATTACTGATTATTGTGACATTCTTCAGCAGACATAAATTTTTTTAACCTAAATAAAACAACTGTGATTTTTACATTTAAATTTAAAACTTAAAAGCCTTCCTATATAATGCAGCGAAGAGTATGTTAAAGATGTATGCAGTGTACTGATATAAAAATGCATCTATAAAAATTGTGAAGCGAGAAACGATCTCGATCTGAACATGTGTGCTATGAGAGGGAGAGAGAAAGAGGAGAGAGAGAAAGAGTGAGAGGTGAAGATTACAGTGCATACAATATGCAATATTCTCCGTATATACAATTCTCTATTTAATTGAACATTGCTACACACCTGATCATGTTTATTCATTCTTTCGCTAATAAAATTGCTAAGTGTCTTTGTATGTGCGAGTGGTTGTGGATATGTGAATGCGTAAATGATCAGTTAATTCGTCCATTCATGTATTCTTCAATTTATATATATATATATATATATATATATGTATGTATATATATATATACAGTACTTCTGTTAAGTCATGCATGTGTGAAACGTATAGCGCTTAACTTAAGGTCTCGTAGTATTTATTATGTATGTGCCTAACAAAAACGTCACCATCGCCTGCACATGTACGTGCATTAATGAGACACTTCATCTCAACAAACAGCAAAATTTCATGCCAGCCTTCATGCCGTATTACAACGTCTTATAATTACACGAGCACAGCACACACACACACGCGCAGTATTCCTTCCTTCCTCAGTAGACAAGTAATTTCTTCCTTTCACGTAAACGGATACCGTCTTTCAAATTTATATATAGACTCAGGTCACATCAAGATTATTATTAAATGCAGACAATTATTACGCACACTTGTCTAAGCTAAAACTTTAAAGCCTTACGCGAATGTATGCTGCACAGTAATTTATTTATGTCCAACAAATCCTTGTTGAGCATCTCCAGCCACAGGTGTACATACTTGCACGGCGTAGTAGATAGAGTGAAAAGATTAATCATCCATGCTTATCACGCCGACCAAAGACAATAGATCTAAAGAGACTTCTACTCGTTTTAATTAGACTATTAGAATTAAGTTTTCCAATAAGAGCATTCACGCTGATGCTTAATCACTTTAAAATGATCAAACGACACTACTAGTATATCTGACTCCTCGTATTAAAAATTGTACTTCATAGTCATTGTATAAAACCGGAGCAGAGCCCAATTCACGACGCACGTAGCGTATTATCGCCATTACTTTCAACATAGCTGCAGATCGTAGCACTGTTGAACCTCACGTACATGTGTAAACATTACGATGGTCTTTACGCTAACCCTACGTATTTTATGTTTATTCATGGCAATATTTAGTGTCATCTTTGAGACATAAGGACGCAAAATGGAATGAATCTCTAAGTGAAACTGTCACAACCGAACGTTAAATTTTAGGAAAACAAAGTGAGAAAATCAAATAATTGTTGATAGGTATTTTATTATCCAAAACGGTTTTAGAGCTTATTGCATATATCATCAAATATTGCTAATGTAGGTAGACCATATTATCATCTGGAAAACGAAAAAATTACTATCTGTCAAATAATAAATTTTGCTGATTAGCAATAACATCATGCATTGGACCATCACAATGAGCAAAATAAAACCTTAACATTAATTTAACTACGACTACTGCAATAAATTAACAGAAATTATTTAAATAGATTTTATATAAATCAAGACATAACATCCATTATTGAGACGTCAGACCAAATTGGATCACGATTTGATCTAATGATAACAGGCTAATAACATGACAAACGGTTTATTTCCATCTGTTGTTCTCATAGTCCCACTTGCTAGAGAGGCCATCTATGTGACCAATCCTCTGCTTAATCATGTTCTCCAATTGTTTCTCTTGCCATTCCCTTGTTATCGTATGAGGTAGGTCATTGACAACTGTTTGGTTTGACAAATATATTTGAAGTATTCTTAAAAACTAGATTGTTTCAATAAATCAATCAATCTTCGTTTTGCGTCCAGAGATCCGGTTTCCCGAGGTAAGACGTAGATTGTTTCAATGTTAAGATTAACTGTTCGAGGTCTACCTATAAAAAATTTAAAACGCACAAACCAAATTTTTTGATGAAATAGTTGATCCAAAGGGTCAAGGTCATGCCGGCAAGTACAATGGCCATCACCTGTTTCCAGTTTCCTGTTGGGGCATCCATCTCTGCATAAGTTTGGCAGAAACTTGCTCTGTACACTGTAGTGGATGTTCACGTTGTTTGCATGGTTGCTTTAATGTTAATGGCAGCAACATCTCAATTTTACAATGTATCATAATTTAATCATACATGCAAATCTTGTTGAACATTTACCAAATTTATAAGATACAAACCTACAACATGCAGCCATTTGTTAAATCTATGATATAAACCTGCACATTCAAGCTATGACTGACTGTGATGAAAATACTGATTTGTGATAATTTATTTTCTATCAGTTTTAAATCTTTTAGAGTATTTATCAAAACCATTGGTGATACAACCTTCATCATTCAACCAACATAATTTCTTTTTTTATTCTTTTTAGACATTAAGCATCTAACTACAAAAATATCTTACTAACAGAAGCACACATTCAAACAAGCTCAAGCATTACAAGAAATCAAACTTATCATATGCTTTTAAGTTTGAAACTTTTTACTTTAGTTTTTCCTAAAATTTGCAATTTAAAAAATCTCACAGGCTTTCTTGTCTTGTAAAGTCAAATTCTTCCAATCTCCTTTTTCTTTTTCTCTCAAGGCAAGCACCTCTTTGGAATTTTCCTTGAAACGAATGGCTGGAGCAGGGAATTCCGGTCTGTCCTCGTATACCGCTTGGCCGTTGTGTCCATAGCCCACCACGTCTCTGTTGCCTTGACGTTTCATAGTAAAAGTTATTTTCATACATTTTTATGCAAATACAACATACTAATGGTCAAAAATGAAATGAACATCTAAAACCTAACAAGTGACAAAAAAGAAACTGAAATAAAAATTTTTTTAAATTTGTTTTGTAATTTTGTATTAACCAAACTAACCCAGTTTAGGATAAATAGCACTTAGACTGGCGACATGATGATCCTGACGAGCCAATTGTTTCAAACAGGCCGATCCTAAGGCCAACAATCTTTTCGAAGCCATCTACAGGGAAAAAAATGGTTTTATGACTTATTATCGCTCTTTTTATTAACGTGCATTCGTCTACTCTGCGGACCAGAGGACGCCTTAATTTAGTGAATTTACAAAACGTTTAAAAATAATTAGACGAAATTCAAATTGATCATTTCACCTTTTTTACTTCATAAACCCCCTAAGAAAGATCGCGGTATTTTTTTACTCACAAGGTTAGCGAAAATTTACGCCAGAGGTTATTTTTGCTATTGCAATGTTGTTTATAACGAAAAATAGTTTAGCGTTTCACTTTGACTTTTTTCAAAAACAAGAAAATAATTCACGTTTATAAAAGCCGTTAAGTTCTGTAAGATGTTAATTTTGTATCAAATTATTAAAATTTTAATGAAAATAATATTATAATGAAGTGAAATGGACAAAATTAAAAGTTAATGTAAATGAGAGTGTTGAAATGATCGGCTAATGAAGCCATTGGGTACACTGAAACATGTGATTAGGTGAGGTTGGAGATTTAAAAGTTCGGTGAAACATGCTCGGCCCGGATTTTTATTCCAACGCATCTCATAAATGTAAATTAATAACTTGCCATTCAGTAAATTTATAGATTGGTGTTATTTTAGTGTTTCTTACTCTTAATCTTAATGGTTTCTTATTCTGAGTGCTTTCTTAGATATATCTACTCTAACAACTAACTAATTAATTACTTTATTTATAATTATTTTATTTTATTACTTTATTGTCTCTCTATCGTTTTATAAGTTATCAGCTGATCATCGCGCCAAACGTTAATAAATTACATATTACATTTTAAAAAATATTGTAAGAAAATAGATTAATAATATATCACCTCAAAATATATAAAATTATAAAAAATGAATGAATAACATTTTTATTAATTAGTACTTTGTTAAATTTCTAGCCCAGCATCATCATGGTGATCTTAAGTGTAACTGGCAGAGCCCCCATCAACATTGCTGTAGTTAAATATTGTTAGTATTATATTGTAATTATAATTATGTTTATTAATAATACAGGTTCATTTTCTCAATTATCCAATTAAAAAACTTATTAACTAGTTTTTATTAATTAAAAAGTTTAATTAAATTGATAGTTTACTTTATATTTTAGACTATAATAATATTTTCAATAACTTGCTTCTTTAATTTACTTGATTAATTAAATGAATATTTATTTTCAAAAAGTAATTTTATTTAAGGGGGTAAAAAAGATGAACGGTTGATTCTACCATTGAATGGATCTATAAGTGGAACACTAGATCTCACTCATGTATGACTTTGATCATTCATGATTTTTTGATAGTTTATCATTGGTTATTTTTATAATTAGCTTGAGGATATTTAAGTTTTAATTCAAAATTGTTTTGAGCTTATTATATATTTTTAATTATTTTACAATTTTTCAAGATGTGTGCAACAACAACTGTTGCTATTAGTGAATCATTCTCTGAAGATCAGTTTTGGCTAAATGGATTGTTAGTTAATTTTTATTATAACACTCAAAAGTTATCACATTCCTCCTGCTGCCGTTGTTGTTATTAATATTATTGAAAATATGTATTTGTATGCTTTGTTATAAAGTTCAGAAAATCAGTGTTTTCGGCAAAGTTTGTAAAAAATTCGAATAAATGTGTAAAAAATATTTGAAATGAGTTTCAATGTATAATTTAAAGTTATGTTTTAATTGAAGTGAAAAAAATCATTACAGGGAATGCAGTTTGTCAGCTAGATTCTCTATAGTTCTGGAAGCAAGTAATTATTTTCATTATTTAGACATTCTTGAGTAAAGTGAACAATTTACTGGATAGATCTTTAACAAGTTTAATCTCATTCCTTATTCAGTTAAGAAAAGAGCTTTAGAAAATGAAACTATCGATAGAGAAAAATTGTCATGGAAAATCCACATATGTTCTAAAAATAACTTTCCTACAGCAGCTGGATTGGCCTCTTCAGCAGCTGGTTTAGCTTGCTTAGGCAAAAGAATTAATTTCTCATGAAAAAAATTACTTGATTATTTTATCATAAAAATTATTTCATTCAATTATTATTCACATTTTTTTTTAATTAATTCTATTCATTTTGATTGTAGTATGTCATTAAGTTGTTCATTTTGTAAATACTGCAGTGTTTTGCCTTGCCAGGCTGTACAATATTGATGGTGATGTTTCCGGTATTGCCAGGTAGTTGTGCTTTCTACAACATTACATTTCTAGGATTAAAAACCACTTATATTTTTAATTAAATTAAATTTACACTAATACGTGAAATTGTATTTAATTAGTTTCCACGAATACAGAAAGGTTGAATATATATATGTAGATTTTGGCGTATCTTCGCCTGTCTAGGTTTGGACAAGCGACTCGGTCGACTCGTCGCTACTTCGTGATGGTGCTTCTGTTGGCTCCCCTATGGAATCGTCTTCTGCGATGTCTTCAGGCTCAACCTGTTCCGCAATCACCTTCTGATGCGCCGGAGGATGTCGCCTCAGCTGTTGTTTTACCGGTCGTGCATCCTGAGTATCAATCTTATGAAAAACTCCTTTTGCAGCACCTATTTCCCCAATCGCACAGCTAAATCTGTCTGAGAAACTTTTAAGTATTTGAATCAACTCTTCCCTCGCTTTCTTAGAAATATTTTTTACTAATTCATCAACCATACCTGTAACTTCTGTTAGATTCTCATATGCTAGACGATCAACTGATTCCTTTGCTTCCACAGCCGATGATAAATCTGGCAATCGCGTCCCCCGGCTTATCACCCTCGGTTGATCGTTGACATTCAAGATCCTAACACACTGTCCTTTATATTTTATAGGTAGTAACGTTCTAGCTACATATACACCCGATTCTATTTGTCTGTTTTCCGAACACATAAATCCGGTCGATTCCAACTTGGACGGCTGGCGAACAATCATCTTTGCTGGCACGTCTAATTCAGTCTGCTCAGGGATGCGGACTTCTGCGTGAGCTTCAATACGACAAAGCTTCCTGCATGAAAAATGTTTAATAACTAATTTCATCATTCTATTTTTGTTATCCACGGCGATTTTTCCTTCGCCAAACTTCCACGAGATATGATTGTTCCTGAGCCAATCTAAACCTAAAACAATTTCTGAAACATGATCAGACACCAACACTAACGCTGATTTGGAATAATCATCAACTTTAATTTGCAACTTCATTTCTCCTTTGACTGGAATTTCTGTGTTTTTGACAGCTTTCAATCTCTTTTTCGTCGGTCTGATCTTTGTGACATCAACCATAGACGTTGGAACAATGGATACACTACTGCCACTATCAAGTAAACCTAATCTTCTTTTGCCATTAATTGTGATTGGCAGATACATGACACGATCATTACTTTCAATTGACTTGTTCACGTAATCTACTGTGCTGCTTGTCATTCCTTTCTGCGGGCACTCCCTCACAAAATGACCTGTCTTTCCACATTTGTAACAACCTTTGAAATTCACTTGACTATAAGTTTGAGATTTGCAGGTCTCATTCTCCTGAGGACATTCGACTGCAAGATGACCTGGCTTCTTACAATTGAAACAAATTTTCTCTCGCTCAACTCGGGATACCGCTGGCTGCGCTCTTTTATTTCTGAGTTCTTCGAATGACTTTTGAAGGAACGCAATCCGTCGTACCATCGACTCCATGTTTTCTGCTCCTGCTTGTAAATCTTTAACCTGCGGGTTAAACCTGTGAAATGAATCTACCACCATCTTTGAAACTTCAAGACGCTGTGCAAACCTAAGAGCATCGTCAATGTACTTTGGTTCTTTTTCCCTAACCTTTAACTCTAATTCAGCATTATCGAGGGCTGACAAGGAAAAGTCCCTAGCTAGATGTGTAGCTAATCTTGACTGCTTTCCTGGATAAGCTAATGACATGAGTCTTTAGTAACCATCGACAACTTTCGTAACGACTCACCAGGTTTTCGACGAAGAATCTGTAATTCGTACCTGTATGACTCTTCATGACCTTTTGTTCCAAAACGATCTTCTAGCTTAGATACCAGCTCTTGGTAACCTAAACCTGTTAAATCCCAGAGAACCTGTGAAGCTTCACCTGTTAACGAACATGACAAAAACGCTTCCATGTCTACGAGATTCCAATTATTGTACCTGGCACATATCTCAAACTTTTTTAAGAAAGTTTTGAGACAGCCGGCGCCATCAAATCTGTCAGGTCGAAGCAATTCGCGACGACAAAAGTCGTTGTCACGCTCGGCACCTATACACGGTTGATGAACCTGAGACTTCACACCAGTTGAATGAAGCGGTTCCCGACTGTCACACGTCGACTTGTGTTCAACTCTGTGTCTCTCTTGCTCGGTCGCTCTGCACCTGTTGCTGTTACCTAAAATTTTATTTCGCCGGGATCTACTGGACGCTAATCGCAGCTCATTCAGTCCGAACTCCTGCAACTTTGGATCACCCTGGCACCTAAAACCTAAAATATCCTGTTTGGGGATAAACCTGTAACCTAAATTGTTCGCTGAAAAATCAATGCGCGGCTTTTCTTCGTACCTGTCAACAATTTCAAAACGATTGTTGTTTAAAACAATTTCATTTTGTTGGCTGGCGGGCGTTGAAAGTCTGCTCGAGGTTGATTTTCGATCCTCCTTCGGTTCCTGTGACCTAAAATCTAAAAAAGTTTCATGTTGTCGAACATGGCACCTGTCACCTAAAAAATTTGGAGAATCACCTTGGCTCCTGCTGCACCTAAAACCTGTAATGTTTGAAAAAGAAGTCCCACGTCAGGCGCCAATTGTAGATTTTCGCCGGGAGACATTCGAATTCCGCACCACGCGGTCCCGAACCGCGTCCACATACGAATATCCACCCGAGCCTTCGCTTCGGCAGAGTCTTTCCTGGCCGGGATCCGCCACTCTACAATAGACCCTCTCAGGGTCTGAAAACACGGGCCGGGCGGAAGTTTGTTCGCGCCCTGCTTGTTGACTAGAGACGCCGACCTCGTCAACTATCAGCAAGTCTTCTTCAACATCCATTATTTTAGGTAGAATAATTAAGCCGAGCCAAACTTCAAGTGTACACTTCTTTTATTCAATAAAAGAAACAAAATAACAAACAAAATAATACAAATCAAACCTGTCTTTATTAAAAAAAACGATAAATCCCAAATTAATCTATTAATAATACAACTACCAAGCAAGAAACAAAACCTAAAATAAAAATAACAAACGACCAGCCTCTCTATATCTCAACTCGCGGCCTTTTATATGTTTTTACCGCCCTACTTACATAACGCTTTCTATATCATAGAAAATTCTATACTCACATCTATACTCTTTTCCTATACTCAGAACAGCGCGTAGCACGCGTCCCATATATTGCTATACTCCCTGTATACAAAACAGCACAGCAGCGTCGCATATATAGCATATCAAATAACAAAATATACATGCATAGAATGTCTATTAAAATATATAGATATATACAGGCGACACGCCTCAAAGACGCAATCATTATCATCACAATCGTCACAATTTCACAAAATATACAGGCGGCATATTTCAATCGCGCAATCATTATCATCACAATTTCACAAAATATACAGGCGGCATATTTCAATCGCGCAATCATTATCATCACAATCGTCACAACTTCACATATATAATAATAATAATTATAATAATTGGTTTTATATCGGGTTTATATGTTTTTAAATTAATCAAAATTTTAAATGTTTTATTAAGTTGCATCATTTGTAGCTTGAATAAAAATTCATTCATCGTATTATGGGCATAAGCGTGAGACATACGTAACGTTAAAGTATCTCCCACAATTCTTACTTCAAATGATGTCATAATGATTATAACAATAATGGTAAACAAGACAACAATTATAGTAGTAGTAGTATGGTAGTTGTCGTAGTAGTAGCAACAGCAGTACTGGTTGTGGCTGTTGTAGTAGTGGAAGTAGCAACGTTACAAATGATAATTAATATTCTTTGATTACCATATTTGTTAATAATGTATTTTTTTGTAGCAATTTAAATAACAATTAACGACAAAGTAATGGTAATATAATTTGCATTTTGTACCAAATAGATTGGGCTCTGGGAGTGCCTGCAGAAGCATGTATGGTGGATTTGTTGAATGGATGGTTGGAGAATGTAGGGATGGGCGGGATTCTGTTGCGAAACAAATCATACCTGCCAATCACTGGCCGAATATGGCTGTTCTCATTTTAGTGGTTCGTCGTCGGTTTTGTATTTTATTGTGGGGATTAATCTTTCGATACAATCACACAACACAACTTTGTGTAGTTAGTTTCGTATAAAATGTCTGTGTTATAATGTGCTATGTTCACAAAATTATCAAGTCATCCGCACGAGACCCAATATCTCGGGTCTTTGAGATTAGATTAGCACAGGTTGCGCATGACCCAGGTCAGCCCACAAAGACAACGCAAGACATGGCACTCCTACCATCTAAACTACCTCATCACACTGTCCTCAACCGCAGGTGAACGCAGGTAGGAAGCACACGAGCAGTACGTCTGGGATGCAGACGTCGGTGCAGACGAGCAGGTTGCTGGAACATCGGGCCAAGTTGGTCGTGCCTGACCACATCGATCTTATGAGGGGGGCGCTGCTTCAGAAGGACTTTCAAACATTTGCTCAAGTTACTATGAAGGTTCGGCGTGACGATGATGGCGGTGAGGAGGAGGAGGAGGAGGATGCGTCAGTGATGATGACGATGATGAAAACGATGGCGTGAGAATGTAGGTATCACGTTGGTGAGATTGGTTGCAATGGGAATGATGATGGTGACAATGAAAAATGAAGCCAGTGTTGTTGTGATGATGATGAGGATGATGATAACATTGATGATGATGATAAGAGTATTATTGATGATGATAATACCCGTCCACGAAACAACACAACGACGACAACAACAACAGGACAGCAACAGCATGCACGCGGTGTGTATGGATACCTACCCGCCCATTCACTATCTCACGCACGTCTCACATCACATCATCAACTTGGTGCACTCTATCAACAACTACTTCCGAACGTGCAAGGTTGCTTCATGATCGTCTGGGTTTTATTCGTTTGTTTCTTTTTTCGTTCATTCATTCATGAACGTTCATTCATTCGTTCGTTCGTTCGTTCATTCGTCCATTCATTCATTCGTTCGTTCATTCATTCATTAATTTATTAATTAATTCGTTCATTCGTACATTCATTTATTCATTCATTAAAACAATCGACTGTTTGTTTATTCTTCAATACTTCCTTCATTCATTCATTCACTCATTCATTCATTCATTCATTCTTTTGTACATTCATTCATTCTTTCGTACATTCATTCCTTCATTCATTCACTCAGGTAGCCTACACATTCGACGCTGGCCCGAACGCCTGTTTATACCTGCTGGATGACGACCTACCAACCATACTCAGTCTTATTCGCTACTTTTATCCAAAGATTCAAAATGTTGAAGAAGGAGGTACTGATGATGATGCTTGTAGAGATGGAGATGTGGATGAGTTTGTGAGGGGTAGGAAGGTGAAAGTTGATGCTGTTAATGAGGTTGGTGTTGCTGTAGTTGTAGTAGTAGTAGTTGTTGTTGTTGATGTAGTTGTTGATGTTTTGTTGCTGTTTGTTGTTGAGATGTACTTGTTTTGTTGTCGTCGTTTTGCTTGCTCTTTCTCGTCATTTCTGTTTTTTTTTTATTTCGTTTTCTACCCCAAACAACCGTCATCACATCAACTGACCTATCAAACATTAATCGATTTGTCAATCATTTTCTTACAAGGCGGTCTCCAGCGACTGTCGTAATTGTCAACCATTCAATCAGTCAATTATTCAAATCACAATCAATAAATCAACTAACCGACCAATCATTTATTTAAACACAAAACAATCAATCATTCAACCAATCAATTATTTATTCAAACCACAATCTATTAACCAACCATCCAATCATTTATTCAAACCACATTCAAGTAATCAATCAACTAACTAATCAATCAGTCAACAATCCAGACCATTCATTCAATCAAATTTTTCAAATTAATTAACCAAATGAGCGTTCAATCAATTAAACTTATCAGTCGAACTGATCAATCACTCATTCAACTAACCATTCAAACCAATCAATCAACTATCAAATTATTCAAACCAATCAATCAATGAACATTCACTAAATAAAACTTCATACTATTCAATAAAACCAATCAATCAACCGAAAATTCACACTAATCATTCAAATAAACACTCAATCAATCGACAATCCCAACCATCCCATCAACCAGGAACTCATAAACAGCATGAACATCACAGTCCTGCCGGGAGCTTTGTCTTACGTCATATCCACCAAGGTTTTTGATTTATTATAATATTAGATTATAATATTTAATAATAATAATAGATATTATTTTTATATTTATTATTATTATTATTATTATTATTATTATCGTCATCATCTTAATTAGTATTAAAATCATCACTATAACAATCGCAGATAGGTGACGGACCGGTGTTGTTGTCAGCAGACGACAGTCTGCTCAACTTGGAAACCGGCCTACCTCACGGAGAGCTCCTCTAAACCATGTATCATCATCATTATTATTATTGTCATTATTATTGTTGTTGTTGCTGCTGCTGTTGCTGTTGTTTGTTGTTGTAGTTGTTATCATTATTATAAAGTAAAATGTAATTGCACTTGCACTCCGATTACTTACATCATTTTCATCATAATAACGTGGAGAGTTTTTTTTGGATAATGAAATTTAAAATTGTCTTGGTTCTATGTGTGAGTGAATAAATACGTGTCCTCGTTGCCTGAAGAATATTACTTTTTAGTTTTTTTTTATTTATTAACGTAGAAGGAAATAGATTGAAACTTGTGCTTCCCGCCTTCGTTTTTGCTATCAAGTCCATGTTTTGACCCGATCTCGACCATACCACACCATACCATACTCTCGGTAACTTTTTAGAAATCACTAACACTAACTGTTACCGACTTTCATCAGCGCTCCAATGAAAACATTTAAAAAAATGCTTAAAGAGTATGTACTATTCAGTCGGCAAGGCTTGATCGTTCACCAAAAACAAAATTCTTATACTGTGTTCTTTGCTACGTAGTTTATTTTTAGCAAAATTTTTTCAAACAAATTTCAGATAGCAAAAGTAAATCAAAAGTTAACCACTTTGGGAAGATACTCTCAAAAGTTTTTAAGCCTACGTTTTGTGGTTTTCTTGGGATTGGAATGATGTGATGTCATTTAGAAAGTTCTTCATTGTGTGTGTGCGTGTGTGTGGCTTTTTTAGTGGTACCTAGCGTCAAAATGTAGCCATAGTGTTACGTTGAAAAGTAACTGACGCTTTTTTAGCGATATCTTGATACATTATTTTCAAATTTTGATGAAAAAACAAACAATGAGAGATCACTATTGTACAAATGTGCTACTCAAGTCAAATTATGGTAGTTGCTGTGGTTATCTTATTATAGATACTCGCCGCCAAAATGTACCAGAATCGAGAGCTAATGAATTAATTTTGCGTTCATGATGTTTCATTGGACAAAATCTGATATAGAGAAAGAAGAAAGTAGTTGGGAATGCAACTGAATGACGAATGCACGCTGAGAATTCTAGTATCTCAATTTTAAAATAAATTTTCGAAACGAAACGAAATTTTATTTGCTCCTCAAAATTACAGATAATAAATAAGAGACAGGATGAATGTGATCGAGCCCCTAATGGGCTCATCTAGCACAGCCACCTAGGCAAATATGTTCAGAGTTTTGTGGTTAATATCAAATATTATTAGTTGTTAGTATGTTAATAACAGATAATAAAACAAAAGGTAGTTAACTAAAAAATAATGTTTCATTGATAATTATAATCGCATTAAAAATATCAACAGAAATTGTTTATAGATAGAGAACATAAATTTCATGATGTAAATACATTTCTTATATAATTTATTAAATTATTAATCATAGAATTAAATTAAACCATTCTTAATAATGTTATTCCAGGTCCTAGGACATTAAATGTTTAGTGATTTTATAAACATCTCTACATTACTAATAAGGATAATAATTTTAATAATTGTTAATTATTAAAAACGATTTAACTTTTTTTTTTTTGTAAAATCAGTAGCCGATTTCGCCTTATATTGAAAACCATTCTTAATAATGTTATTCCAGGTCCTAGGACCCTTACATAATGACTGTTAACCCTAACCCTTACAGATTACATGCGAATGTAAAATGTTAGTTTTTGATTTATTCGATTGCAAATAATTAGACATCCTATGACTGTTAGCATGTTTAAAATAATTAGCAAACGTATTAGGCAATTGATTATTAAGCTGCTTATACACAAAAATCAAAGTACGATAAATATTCAATTGATTAAAATTAAGATTATTGGTTGTCGTAAATAACTCCTTGGTATTGACATGGTGATGGTTTCAATGACATACATACAAAATTCAAACAAAACACACTCATTCACTCATACAAGCACACACACACGCGTACGTTATGAAGAACCTCTCAAATGATACCACATCGTTCTATCCAAATAAGAAGTACTCATTGAAAAATAAGAGAAAATTACAGAGAGTTGTAATGTAGAAATGTAGCCGTTTATTCGTTCAATCACTCATTCTTTTCATTCATTCATTTATTATCCTTCTTTCATTTATTATTTCATTCAGTTATTCATAAAACTTATTCTCCCATTGAGAAAGATAATTCCTTTCGGATTAATTTAGCGACGACAGCGTTGATGACAACTTATTACTATTATGATGATTATTATTATTATTATTATTATTCACTGTTTTAATTAGCCTACTAACTACCTGAATATTTCATTATCTCAAACTATTTTGATTTTATTTTGAATTTTTCGGCCAATAAAAGCTTTCTCATTTAATATTAATTATTATTATCATTATTATTATAAATATTATATATTATATATATTTTTGTGTTTTTATTGTAATCATAATATATCGTTGTTAAGTATTTGTTATAATATTTATTAATATATTGTCTGTTATTATAAGATAATTATAACCAATCTTCTTAATCCATTCTGAATGGTGTTGTTGTTGTGTGTGTGTGTGTGTGTGTGTGTGTGTGTGTATTATTATAGTGTTGTTTTAAGTCATATCTAGTTGTATGTGTGTGAGTGTGTGTGTGTTATTAAAGTGTTGTTTTAAGTCATGTCTAGTTGTATACGTGTGTGAGTGTGTGTGTGTGTGTGTGTGTTTATGTGTGTAGTTTGTTGGTTTATTTATTTATATATTTAAATAAGAACTATACGATGTCAGATTTATTTTTTTTATTTATTTATTCAAAATAAAAATGGTCACGTGATGTTAAGTTGAAGTTGTATTTATAATTAATTAATATGCATCACACACACACAATCATTTGTTAGTAGATTAACACGATTATAAGATAAAAAAATTAATTAAGTAATTAATTAATTATTAATAAGTACGTAATGCTTGGAGTCAGTCAAAATAAATGGTTAATTAAACGATGGATATAGGCTGTAAAGATATGTCTGTGTTTGTGTGTGTGTGTGTGTGTGTGTGTGTGTGTGTGTGCGTGTGTGTGTGTTAAGTAGGGTAATGTCTATTTTAGCACCTTACAAATTCAATTGTTGAATCATTAAAAAGTCCATTTAATTCAATTTAACGGTTAAATTAACTTAATTAATAACAAATATTGATGAAATAAATTAAAATAATCTGTACTTGAACTGAAAAAACTTTAATAATTGTATGATTTAGTTTGAAAATTGCTTCAATTAACAATGGCTGCTGATTAATATTAAGCTGCAAATATTTGACGATTTTACTGGTTTATTGTAATGCCACACAAACCAAAAAATAATAACCACTATTTTTTGAAAGTTTCTAACCCGAAGCTATAGTAATTAATTTATGAAAATATTTTTCTTCACAACAGTACAACAATTAAATTTGAAAATATTCATATAAAATAAATAATCTGTAAAAAAAAGAATAATTTTCTGCCATGTAGCAAAGAAATCTCAAAAAAATGATCGTAGCTGAGTTAGAATACAGGGTAGAAACAGATTTAAAGTATCAGATAAAGATTTATATGGATTATAAAACAATTAACAGATCTTTCTACACATACATACAGCACACATACATACACTACACATACTTACACCACATATACATACACTACACATACATACACTGCACATACATACATTCACACACACATTTAACGAAATTACATGCATATAAATATGCGTAACAGTATTTTAAAAGAATGTATCTAACTTCTAAGATGAAAACAATTGACAAATATGAAATATTTAAAGTTGATATTTAAAATAATTTCGAGAAAATAACGAAAGTATCTCAGAATGAAATTTGAAAAAATGGAAACAAATAAGATCATGAATATGAAGTGCACGCACGGCTAACAAATAACAAAAACTAACTAGACCTCAAACTCATTTCAGTACGTTAATTATACGTGTGTGTGTGTGTGTTTTTTGTGTGTGTAAGTGTGTAATTATCATCTCGTCGTCATTAGCCAACATAACTTTAGGCGTCATCTTCACCATCATCTTCATCACTATCACTTTTATCACTATAACCACCATCTTAATCGTCATCATCTTCATCAACATCGTCATCATCTTCATCACCACATCATCATCTTCATCACCACATCACCATCATCATTTTATTCACCAACACTAATCCCATCATCATTTCTCATGATATATCGTTAAATTTTTTGACTTCAAACTCTATCATTGAGTTTCTTGACGTCATCAGAGTGGCCATCGTGGTGGCCGTTGCTTTCGATGCTGTGGACGAAAATTCGGTCGCCGACATAATCCGGGTCCGAAAAGTACTTCCTCATTTTGGCGGGAGTGGCGTTGCTCGCGAAGATGAATTCGTAAATTAGACCTGCAAATATGGCGCCAGTTATGGGTCCAATCCAGTATACCTGTGTGCGTGTGTGTGTGTTGGTGCGTGTTTGTGTGTGTGCATGCACGTACGTGTATATGTGTGTGTGTAAGGACTTGAGTTTTTGTGTAGTGAATGTGTAGGTGTAGAGTTTATTTGGAGTATGAGTGTCTGCATGAATTTGGATGTGTTTTTGTGTGTATGTGTGTGGGTTGTGCACGTGCGTGTATATGTGTAAGAAGTGTTTGTGTAGTGTAGTGTGTGTGAGTAGAGTGTATTTACTTTAGTGCATGGGAGTTTGTATGAATTTGTGCACGCATTTGCGTGTACACACACACACACACACACACACACACACACACACACATATATATATATATATATATATATATATATATATTGGATTAAGACTGTCAGAAATGCAATTGTTGATGAAAATCACAGCATGTTCGGCGTTAGTTAACTTCCAATTTAACGTTTCGATTTTTCTAACAGTATAAAAATATTTGATACAAAATAAAAACCAACAAAACAAAACCAACAATATAATAGGGCGGTATCTGTTAGAACGGGGTAAGAAATTGTTAAGAAATTGTTAATTAAGAAGTGAGTTAAAAAGTGAGCGAGTGGAGAGTTAGAGTTAAAAAGTGCGTATTTTAAAGAGGGCGACAAGCGTGTGTAGCTGCGTTCTTTTATACCCTCATGTGGTTCAAAGTTCACGCCTACGATTCTTGTCTTACTCGTTCCTACTGTGTCACGTTCTATATATTAGTCTGTCCCTTTGTCTGTCCGTCTACTTATTCTGTTGGTAAACTTTTCAGTTTAGAATTGTGTTGTACGTCTTTAAATCTTGCAGTCAGTTATGGGTTTTGTCTGTTAGAACTGTCGATATTTGTAGCTATAAATCATATGCACGTGGAATTACTAATAATTATTATAATGCATTATCTTTTCAATTGTTATAACAGGACATTGATTTAAAATTATTGTCGGTTTAATGGTCGATATTGCTGTATCGATTACTAACGATCTAGTCATTATGAAATGTGCTATTGTTGTCATTGTTATATTTGTTGTTGTTGTTGTTATTGTTATAGCTGGTGTTGTGTTTGTAGTTTTTCTTCGCCATAACATATTGTTATTGCTGTTTGTTTCAACGTTATTGATTAAACGGACGTGTGTTTTTTGTTGTTGTGGTTATGTTGTTATAGTTGTTCGGTTGCGTTTGTCTGTGTGTTTGTGTATTTGTGATGTTGCGTTGTTGCCCTGCTATGTTGTATAATTATCGATTGTAGCAACATATTTGTTTAATTTCTTATTAGAGTAGTGAAGTTGCTATAGCAATAAAATGATGATGATGACGATAATGACGATGGTATCAATGCTAAATGATGAGGATGAGTAAGATACCTTTGTTTCTTCTTAGAAATACTTGTGCGATGTGTGTGTCAATAAAAACTTACCTTACTTAACTGAATAACGGATTGAACAAACGAATAAACAAAGGAATGAACAAGCAAATGAACGAACAAATGAACAAAAAATGAACGAACAAATGAACAAACAAGTGAAAGATCAAACGAGTGATTGAATACACAGACGCATAATTTGTATGACTTTGTATATAGTCTGATGTCATTCTGGAGGGGGCGCTATACAAGTCATCATCAAATACAATAGGGGTGAAACGAGAAATTATTGACTAAGTATTAAGTACAAACAGATGTAGATAGATTATGTTTTGTTTGTATTACACAGTGAATGAATATTGATCAATAATACTTTCAATAGGGATACAATTTTATATTGCTGTAACGTTTAGATGTTAACTGCACCTAAAATACAACTGAATACAATTTGGTACTCTCGGTCTTTTATTGGGTCCTGCTTGGACGATCATTTTTTGCTCCACTCACATGTGTTCGTTTCGTTTCGCTTCATATCGTTTCGTTTTAACCATTTATGCACGAAAACTAATTTTGTACAATAGGAATTTTTATTGCGTTTTGTGCTGGATTGATTAGAAAACCTACTTTTTTCTTAATTTTTGAGGAAAGGCTGCAGTTTCAAAGCCCTCTTTCTTTCACGTCTACAATTAATTTAGATAAGTTATGAAATATTAAAAAATTTCAAAACGCACCCAATGGTGCTCCCAGGTTCCTCCGACGACTGCTGGTCCGAACGTTCTGGCGGGATTCATGCTGGATCCTGTGTACTTGATCTGTGTGTTTGTGTGTGTTTGTGTGTGGTGTTTGTGTGTATGTATGGAGTGTTTGTGTGTGTACGTATATAAAAGCCGATTAAGAATGGGTTTGTACGTAAGTTTTCATGTATACTTGTATGTTTGTATGTTGGCCGATGTTTGTATAAACATTTCTACTACATACGTATGCATGTTCATGAGTGTGTGTGTGTGTGTGTGTGTGTGTATTGAATCGTGCATATTTGAAGTGAAACGCACTTGTTCTCATAGGCGTGATCGTATTAATGAGTGAATATTTAGTTAGGCACACAAGTATGTATGTACGTGTACTGGAGGCTGTGCGTGTGTAGTAGTGTATGTGTGTCAGTGTGTATGTGTGTCAGTGTGGCTTGCATCCTTCAAAGTTCCAGAGTAGCTATTTATATAAAAAATTGAATGTACATATTTATGCATAAATACATGCACAATGAACATTAAGATGCATATGAACCAAGATGAGACGCACACATAAATGCACACATACATGCACACATACACACACGCACACATTGTGAACATTCAGATTTAGTAGGAGTTTTGTATCTTAATTGTTTGGCCATCAAACATTTCACGCTGTTAAAAGAGCATTTTTGTTTGGTTCTTGAGTTTGTGCAAACAAACTGGTTCACATGTCTGAACGTGTTTGTCGTTGGGATGTTTTATTGTATACGTTCAAATTTATATTTGTTTATGTGTTCGAATGTTCGCATGTATGTTCGTGTGTTTGTGTGCGTGTATGCATATTTGTAAATATGTATGAGTGTGCGTCTGTATGTGTCTACTTGAAACCATTCAATGAGTGCCTTATTAATGAAGTGCGTGTTTAAACATATTTACATGACTACGTTTGTTTGCTTATACCTGCCTCTGTGCCTCTGTGTTTTTCTATGCGCTATAGTATTTAAGTGTGTGTTTACGTGTGTGCGTGTGCTTGCAAGTGCGTGCGACAGGTATGATAGGAGAGAAAAATTGACAAGAAAATAGGCATATCATTTAACATGTGGGTAGGTATTCATCATTGAGGTATTTTGTACTTGCGTATTCGGGTACACTCCGGCGCATGTGTCTGTTTATATTGTAAGGCATTACATTTGTTTGACTAAGAATCTTTCTAAATTGTAAGTTTACAGAACTCGATTAAAAGTTAATTGAAATTAAATAACTTTTAATTGATATCATTCGGTTCAAGTTCAATTACTATCAATATTTGCCGAGAAATTAATTATCTAATGCGTTAATTGAAGAGATTATGCTCTTCGTTGAAATTTGTAATAAGGCAAAATACTGAACTATCAACATCAAGAGATACATAAATTATTGTAAAGATACATACATTCTTAAGATACATACATTCCATAAATACATACATCCTAAATATAAAAACATCCTAGATATAATATTCTAAACATATATACATTCTAAAGATAAATATCATAAATATACAAACATCCTCTGAGAACTATTGTAAGAGTGAATTGAATTGTAACAACAACAATAATAATAATAAGTAGTACACACATTCTAAAGACACATACATTCTAAAGACACATACATTCTAAAGATACATACATTCTAAAGATACATACAGAGATACATAGTATCACTAGTTGAGAACATCCGACTAACCAGCCAACCAGCCAACCAGCCAGCCAACATGTGCAGAGGTATAAGTGGTGTACTAACTAGTCTTTATATTCTCCATGATTTTATATTCATGGAGAATATAAAATCATAAAAATTTCAAATTTCATTGAAAGATGCACGAGATTTTGAAAAGTTTATAGTTGATTAGTCAAATGCAAATCAGTTTGTGCGGTGGTCTACTCTCGTCATGATTACGCAACATTTTTTGTTAGGATTAAGTTGTGAATTATGCTTGTTTGAGTAAATATAATAATAATAATAATAATAATAATAAAATGAAGAAAAAGAAGAAAAATAAAGATAACAAGAGATCAATAAAAATCATAAATAACAATCGGACGTCTATACTCTATGAGACGATGTATTATTACAAAGGTATTATTTTATTACTACTACTACTAGTAGTACTACTACTACTACTACTACTACGACTTCTACTACTATTGCGACTACTACTACTACAACTACGACTACAACACTATTAAGATAAGTACTACTACTACTAATACCGTTACTATTTTTGTATCGTTACTTTTACCAATTCTAATCATTCAACAGCTTCAGGTTTACTGATACTGCTACTACAACTATAAATACTGCTGCTGCTACTGCTAATATTAATACTACTCTCGCTGTTACTATTTCTGCCACTACCGCTTCTTCCTAAACTTGTAGTACCACCAAATATTGAAAATATTAAATATAAAAATATTCCATAAAATATTGAAAAAGACAACAAAACTAACAGCAAACATGTGGCAGAAAGCAACAGCGAATCCAATGCTGAGAGGGGTTGAGCCACTGAGGTCGTGCCTGTTGGCGTCGCAGGAAGCGAAAATTGTGAAGATCAGTACAAAAGTGATGAAGGCCTCAACGGCAACTGCCCGAGGAAATGCTTTGATGGATGAACTGACCGATGTCTGACCCAGGTCACCCATGTAGTCGGCCGGTGTTATGGCCATCACGATTGCTGAGCCTGATTGGTTATTAGTGGAGAGTTTTGGGAAGTTTGAAATTGTTTTCATTAGGTGATTGTTTTAAATAAATTATTTCATTTCGCTGTTTTGAATATTTTAAATATTACAAATAAATAATATGAAAAAGTAACATTAAATAAAAAGCCAGCAAACTTGACATCGCAAAATTGAATCTTCATACAAAACACAATCCGACATGACCAGCCACTAACTGACCGATGATTGCTCCAAGACACTGCGACACAATGTAGATGATCGCCTTCGACAGAGTAACCCTCCTTGTTGCCAGCATGGCGCACGTGACCGCCGGATTAATATGGCCGCCACTCACGTGACCAATGCACCTGACAACCGTTGCTACGGCCAATCCAAAGGTCAAGGATATCTGAACGATGGTGGGAGTGTTGGCCTCCCAATCCTTTCCGATGCATGTTCCAGTTCCGATGACGATGAGGATGCAGGTTCCCAGAAGTTCTGCCAGGGCGCTCTGCCAAGTCACTCGGTCCTTCAGATCCCGAACGTTCCTAGTTAGTACACCACTTATACCTCTGCACATGTTGGCTGGCTGGTTGGCTGGTTAGTCGGCTGGTTGGCTAGCTGGTCGGATGGTTGATCGATTATTATTAGTTGATTGAATAGTTGATTGGTTGATTGATTGAACTTTTAATTTATCAGGATGTTCTCAACCAATCAGATTATTAGGATTAGTTGCGGTGATTTTTTTCTCAATCGTTTTCAATTTTTTTTTCAGTTTGTAATTTTTTGTTTTTCAATCTTCAAACTAAACAACTTTTAATTGACTTAAACTCCAATTTCAAGCCAGCGTTTGAAATAACAAACGCGCAAAGCAGTGAACAAACAAAATAACGTCTGAAAATAAAAATTTAATTTCTAATCCCGCCTAATCGCAGCGAGTTCGAAGAAAAAATGTTCAGCAGCCAGCTCGTAAGATTAAAAACTATGATGATGTTGACGACGACGATGACGATGATGAAGACGATAACGATGATGATGACGACGATGATGTTGAAGTCGATAGATATGTAGATAGGATTCGATATTTTAGTTAGTGCATTGTAAGTCAGACACAACGTCTTTATATACATTCGTATAACACACCTGTATGTATATATATATGTATATATGTATATATAAAGTATAATATATATAGGTGTATATATGCAATATGCAATGTTAATCTCGACTGTATCTGTGAAAACTGTTGTTGCTATTGTTACAATTCAATTACCGTTAATGT